ACACAAGATCTTTCTCCCCCTCCAGGCCAAAGAACTGATCTCTTTTGGCTGATTTCCTTTACAATATACGTGCTTCTGCCTGCTCTTGGGTATCTTCTCTCTGTTGCTATGAGCGTTCGTTATCAGCGTGCAGCATGGTAAAGGTCTCTTCTGATCTGCTTGTGTTTGTCTAATGGAAGGGTTTAATATAATTTTTCAAATCCAAAGAAAAGTAAAACTATGCACCTATTTTCAGGTTCATGTTCACTAGGCTTTTCTGCAGCAAGAAAATAAATCTACTCTTTCCAGAACTAATTTTGTGGTGCATGGGACCACTTTGCCTTACAAACATTAGACACATTTTTCTAACTGTTTTTCGTCTTTCATCTCATTTCCTTTAAATCTGGACAGCCTACCCCATCTTGCCCTACACCAGTTCTCACCTGTGGCTATTATTCGGTTCAGGAGTTTATGGGAGCCTTGTGAGCCTTCTGCAGAGTGCGTTATTCTCACTCAGTGATCCTTGGCTGTTCTTGACCATACGAAACATTTTAAAATATGTTACCAAGTTCACTAGAATGCTACTAAAACCAAATGTGACTGAGGTCTATCAGCAAGATCTCTGTGCCAGAAACAGCTCTCCCAAGTTACTCTCAAATGGAAAAGAAAAACAGAAGAAAGTTTTTCACGTAACTGTGCCTTTATATTAATGGCATAGAGCTTGACCTCCAACTCAAATGGGAGTAAGGGTAAAGGTAATTTTTTTTGTCCATTTATTTTGCAAAAATGAGCACACAACTATATTCAGTTGGCTTGCTTTCTGGAAACCACCCAGTCCAATTATGTAAAAAAAAAAAAAAAGTGCTCTTTCTGCTTCTTTGGCTCTGTTGTCCTCTTGCGGTTTTTCAGGACCCCAGTATGTTCATTACTACTGAACAGCAGGACTGACTGGAAACCCAGATCATGTTCTTCTGGACTATGTCACAGTCAGGAATACTCTGTTTACTGTTCCTGTGCGCATCAGCAAAAATGAGTATTCTTGGGTGTTTTGTTGGAGTGGGGGTTTTTGCCAGGCAAGAAACTCTAACAACAGGATCGTCTTGTGTTCCTCAGGTTAGTCAGAATTCACCCCATCTAAACTAAGCTCATCAACACTTTCTGCAGCTTGCAGGAGGAAGTTTTCACGTGTCCTTTCACCATACGTTGTCTCCCTGTGTGCTGACTGGTGCCCTGTGTATTGCACGTGTACGTATTCTTTTATAGTAATCTCACTGTTTTTCTGCAGGTAATGCCTTTCATAACCTCTTTTCAATTGCAGCGCTTAAGCTGTTACCTGCTGCTTGTTCTGCCCCTCAGAACAGATCTCACGCTCTCCTCGGGGTGCTGGTTTTAGAGTGCTCATTCCTTTAAGTGCCTCAGCAGGGAAGCTTTTATGCTCTGAAATATCTTACAGTTCTGAAGATCACACCTGTGATGGACAGTGGTTTACATGTAAATAACCAAGGCACACCTGTGGAATCTTCATAGGATGCAATAATTTACAACATCTGAAACACTGAAAGCACTGCTCACCACCACAGATTTGGAACCTGTGGAAGGAAACCTCAAAGAAATGGAAGAGGAGAACGATAAAAAAGTAGTCAGTTACCCAGATGTCCCTTGACGAGGTGGCATTGAGCTTCAGGCTATTTGTAATAGATAGTTCGTGCTGGGCAATACAAACCTGGTTACCTGTCAAAAAAGTTCTTCACAAATATAAAACCAAGTGTTTCTTCAGGCTGCTTGTTATTGTCACTTACAGGTACACAAAGTGGGGTTCAGCCCAGTATTAAAACTCCAGTCATATGCCTGTGTGATTCCTTTAATACTTGAGAGTTTTGCCTTTCCTGTCGGGTGAAGCATGGGGCACAGACACATCTCTTAAGAGTTGACACCTTGGTACAGGGGAGTAGTTTCCAGTTCGGCAGCCTGCTACATTTTATATCCCCAGAAAATATGTGTTGAGGATCATTCTTTTTTTTTTTTTTTTTTAATTTTGGCAGTGCATGGGGTTCCCATGTAATAAAACTGACTCTCACTCTTCCTCAGAAGGTGAGGTTTGCAAAACAGTGTGGGGACAAAATGTTTGGATTTTAGTGAATACAATTGTGAAATTTTCCTTTTACAGTATACTTCTTCAGTCCTTTGCATAGTTTGTCAGATGTGTATTTTCTTTAACTCCTTCTGAAGTGACCAGTATGGGCATTTAGGGGGTGGTCTTTAATTTTTGGATAAAAGTATTCAACCTATCTAAAAGCTACTAGTATCAAAACTACTGTAATTGGGCAATACCAGACATATCCTTTTAAACAGTGAATGTGGATGAAATTGTGGGTTTCTATACTTAAAAAAAAAAAAAATCCCATACACAGCTAGGAACTTTGTTTCTTAAACCATAAAACAGGAGGAAAACCTTCTGTAACATTAAAGTCACTTTCTCATCAGTTTTCTCTGTAAAGAAAGGAGAAGTTAATTTCTTTGGTTTATGATTTAGGAAAAAATTATCCCTGTTTCTCCATGTTATATTTCAGTTGTAGTCGCATATAAGTTACTTGAGGAGAAGAACAGAACTGCATGGCAGTATGAAATGTGGTTTTCTTTGAAAGACCTTTCAAGAACAATTTGGAATATCTTTTTCATTAATGACACTAGTTGTCTATACCAATGGCAACTTCTCTACATCTTGAAATCAAATAAGAGATGTTTCTTTGTTCAGATCATAGTTAAGTCTAAATGTCACCTTTCAAATGACTTTACTTAAGGAGTTCCCTTAGGATCACAGGAAACAAGTGCTCTCCTCATTGCAGAATAAAGGTGGGAGGTGTTGAAAGAGCCCACAATCCTTCCTCTCTTCCATGGTTTACCAGAGCTCAGACAGGTTTCTGAGGCGTATGCTTTGTCACAAAGTTTAACACTGGAAGAGACCCAAACCTTCTAAAGATTTGCGATAAAAGCCAGATACAGCGTTGGTATTATTGATGGAGAAACAGAAAGTAAAACTTCTGTAAAGGCTTTGGAAAAATAAGTGAGACTCAGCTGGCTTTATTTCTGTCTCAGACCCCAAGGGCTGCAATTCCCTGCCGTCGCTGTTGTTCGTTATATTCTCTCTGCTGCTTACCTGTGATGAGCTGTTACTGAACCCTCACCCCACAAAGCACTCCAGCTGTAGAGGCCTTCATCTCGGACTAGGATATCGTAGACATCGACCTCTGCCTTGTATCAGGTCACTCTTCAGATGGAAACTTAATTTTTCCACTGCTGAAAATTTTGTCGCTGCTGTTGGTATTCTCACTGCTGCCAACAGGTTTATTCTTTGAGCTGTATGAGGAACGAGGGTTATGACAAAAAGCAGTTAGGGAAGATAAGATGTATGGTC